GGCCGCGCTCCCGGCGCGGCCCTTCGCGCCTTTTCTTGTTCTCGCCGACCCCTCTCCGCCGCCTGCGACCCCGGCGGCCCGGCTGGTCGTGGGGTAGGAAGAAGTCAGGGCCTCACTAAGGCTCCCGAGGCTGCTGTCCGCCAGGCCGGCGCCCCCTGACCACCAGGCGTGCCTTTCTCCCAGCTTCCTCGGGCCCCGCGCCCCGCGTGGGCGGTGTCTGCGGGACCCCGCGCCGCACACTCCTTGAGCCGCGACGCCACCGCACGCTCCGAGGTTGAGCGTTTTCGCCGAGTTGGCAAACCTGACTGGCACGTGCGGAGACCCCAAACCTTAAGTGACCATTGCCCCGTCCGTTACCCCAATAATAAACCATAAGAAAAAAAAAATAGAATACAGCTTGAGTTCCTTTTTATTTTTTAATTCTTTTAAAAGCTTTTTTCCTCGCCGGAAAGCGTCCGAGCACCGCCGTTCCAAGGTTCCCCGCGGACGCTGGAGGCCGTCAGCACGCGTCGGTGGCTTCTCCGAGCGCCCGATAGTCCGCTCAACGCGGCTTTCGTTTCCCAGGTGCCGCGCGGCGGCTGAGGTTCGGGAGCCGGCAAGACACGTGTTTGGTGCCCTTTGCTTTTTCCTCCCGGGCACTTCCCCCCCCCCATCCCCCCTTCCCGAGGCTGAACCATTCAGTGTCGCTACAAACTTTTTTTTCCCAGCAGGAATAGTCCGAGTGACGAGACAGCAGTGATTGGAGGCTGAGGTGCCCTAGTTCAGCCTCCAGCACTCGGGAAGCCTCCGTTCCCGCACGCCCTCTTTCCGCCCCGATTTGGCTTGTGCGGGGCCGGAAGGAAAACGCACAGTAGGAAAACGGAGATTACAGACACGGGTTACTCTCCGGAGCTCAATTAGAGCCGGTTACGTTCTCTTGGGGGCTCGCACGCTGGCAGTGGCCCCGCGCCCACGGCCACCCGGAGCAGGACGACGCGCGCGCCTGGGGCCAATATCAGACTAATAGGAAAGAGCTACACCTGACGAGCTAATCATTAGACGGAGAAAAAATAGATCTAAATAGACCAAGTAACAGCCTAGCATTAGACATGACCCATAGTGCGTCCTTTAGGAACCACCCGAAGTGTTTGTGTGCCCTGGCTCCCCGCCCCGCCACTCCATTTAGCATTGTTTTCGTTTATTTTCCTTCTCCAGGAAGAGGCAGCTCGAAGGCCAGCGAGCACTGCGGCCAAGTATCCTAGCGGGGTGGCCGCGCGGGGCTGGGGCGCGCACCTCGCCTCGGCGCCGGTCCCCGCCGCCTCTCTGCCGCCGCGCGCGGGGCCAGAGCAGCGCCCTAGTTTGATCCCGGCCTGCCACCGCTAAAAGTCACAAGCGAGGGCTTTCCCCTGGCGCGGGTGGGAACGGAGTCTGCCGCGAAACGGGCGGCAGCTGGCGACCGGTTCTAGGGGCGCGGTGTCCTCTCCAAGGAACAATCCTGGGCGGAGATATTTGCCCCCAGAAAAATGAAGAGCCGTGGGGAGCCAGCGAGAAACTGAGGGGCCGATCCGAAAGCGCGCAGTTAGGGAACATCCCCAAGGGCAGCGCGGACCCGGCATCTGAGCCACAGCGTCTCCATTGAACTAGGGCCACCAGGAGCATGGCGAGGGGCCGAGTGTTATGCGTTTGGGCATATTTGTCTGACCCTGCAGTGCGCTCCCGGTAATCCGCGCCCTCTGGGGTTTTCCTCTGGGCCCTGTCTTTGCACAGCGGTCCTTTTCGTCAACCCCTTCTCTCCTCCTGTCTAGCTTTTCCCATTCCTTCCACCACCAACTCCTTCCCTTTTTCCTTTCGCTTTCTCTCTTTCCCCTATTGTACCCTGCACTGTTGGCCTCCTCTCAGTCGACTCTTCCCCTTTTCTTTTCTCTCTTCAGACCTCCTTTCTCTTAACTCTCGCCATCTCCCGTTCTTACCCCTCTTGCCTTCTCTCTGCCTCCTTTCACTCCCTCCCCTCTCCAAATCCCGGTCTGGAAGGAGTCACTGCGCCCCTGCGGTGTTGCGCACCACAAGAAATAAACGTGCAAAAGACACAGTAGAAGAAAGGCTAAACTAGAGGTAGGAACAGCGATCGACCGGCAACTCAGGCAGCTCCGAACGCCAAGGACCCGGAGTCCCAACCACCGCTTGGCGGTGTGGGCATCCCTCTCCGACCGGCCTTGCCTCTGTGGGCTTGTCTCCCCAGCCCTCTCCTTCCTCCCCTCTTCCACTCAGTAACAGGCGCAAAACTCTCCCACGCTCTCCTCAGACCTTTCACTAATTTGAAATCTGAAGTGTTTTAAATCGCTAAAGAAAATACAACATTTCCATTTAGCTCCTTGGATTTTCCATCTTTTCGATTTTCTACTCCAAAGGCAAGAAATCTCAGAGAAGAGGGGGTCTAAGGGCACAAGTTCCCACGCGTAGTGGAGAGAGAGATTCCAGCCCGGAGACTGAGTACCGGGCTTCTCGCCCTTATAAATTTGGGAAGGCTTGTTAATATAAGATGAGCCTCAGTTTTTTTCATTTGAAAATGGTAATCATAAAACCTGCTTCACAGAGTTGGCCTTTCATAACCCATGACTTTACACAAGCTGTTCCTTTCATTGGAATGCCCCCCTGCACGCCATCCCCTCCCTTCTGTCTGCCTTAAAAACTAGTTGAAGACCCATCTCAAAAGTCACCTCCTCCGTGAAGCCCTTGCCGACTCCCCAAGGCAGTCTGTTGCATTCCTACCTCTAGCTGCCTTTCCTTTCTTGTATTCTTGTTTTTTACAGGTTTACTTTGCCCACCGGACCATGAACTCCTGGTGGGCTAACCCTAGGTGTTATTATTCGTCTTGTATCACCAGTAGCAGCATAGCACATAGTAGATTCGCAGAAAATATATGATGAATAAATAGAGGAAGAAGTCCAGTCAGAATGCTCCTTAGAAGTGAGGATGGCGAGACTTGATCTCACGTACTTTGGACATGTTATCAGGCACCTCACAACAACAACAAAGGCATGAAAGCTAGGATAATTAAATCACATAATGTGTCATAATGGGACCTCAAATCTTAAACAGTCGTCCCAAATCTGCGTTTCTCTTTAAATGAGCCTCCCCCTGTCTCCTTCCTCGATGTTTTTATGTTTCTGAGCAATCACTGCATCTACCCTGGTTCCCTTTTTCCTCTCATCTCCCTGTTTTCATTTCTGTCTCTCCTGCTCTCAGACTGTAAAGGGCTTCTGTGCTAGGAAGCACACCCCAGCTGTCAATCACAAAGTGGGGCTTCCTCAAGAATAATCAGGAGTTTTGTTTCCAACATTAATGAAGTGGCTGGAACAGCAAACATCTGCCAAGGGGACTCAAACCTTTTCCAGCTGCCGGAGACCCACAGACACTTCCCCGCCTCCTGCGACTATACTTAAGCAGTGTCTGCCCCGCACGCCCAGGCGGGCACACGCACAGAAAGACGGACCCCTCTGCACTGAGCCGTCTGCGCTAAGCCACACTTTCGCGGGCACAGAAAGGGATAAAAATCCACACCTTCCGGGGGCTTCAGGGGGCCCGCCCCCACACCTGGTACCTGATTCCCTGGAGACAGAGCCCAGCCGGAGAGCAGGGGACAAGGACACCTTTGCAAAGGAAGACAGAGGTTCTAACAGCTAGAAACCAAAGAACCCCTCTTTTCCACTTCAGTTCACGCTCAACTAGAACTCCTGAAAATTAATAACACAAAACCGTTTGTAAAAATCCTACAGCGACAGTTAAATTGCATGCATTTGGGATCTAACCCTAGGTGGACTCAGCTTGATTTTTAGTTTAAATAGCCTTTTATAATCTCGGGCTACATGTCGGTATAGGTATTAAGAAGCAGCCAGCGCATAAGACTCATAAATACACTAATTCCTTTCCCAACGGTCTTCTCTCCAAAGTGTGTGGGGGGACGGGGGAGGGGACAAAAGCACTTCTTACATTCTAGTAAAGTGTATTTAATAACTTGCATTTCAGTCAGTAAGTTTTGAAATAGTTTCAGACATGTGAAAGCAAACTAGGGAAAGCCTTGTAAGTTAATATCCCCCTGGGCCCCGGGGCCTTAGCAAAACTGCAGCGTGTGGAGCCCAGCATGCTGGTCCTGTGTCGCAGGAAGCTGAGGGAGGTGGATAAGGAGGCCGGCTTATTTTTAATGATGATATTAATTTACAAAAAACTGTAAAGCATCATTTTAAGAGAGGGCACAAATGCAGTCCACTTGACAAATGGACTTGGAAAGGTCTGAATAGGTCCGTCTATCCTTTCCCAAAACATCTTTCTGGGGGAAAAGTTTAAACTGAGAAAAAAAAAAAAGACAAGTTCTGTGTCTACAGAAAACTGAACGTTTACATAACCAGCAAAAACGTAGTCGATCATCCAGATGGTTCCAAATTTTTAGAAGCTTAATATGCAGATTAAACCTATTTGTTTTGCTGATTATTTCCCTTTTTTAATTGGG